TATCAACCCCATGGCTGTCATCAGTCTATTTATGCAGCTGCAAAGATGTTCTTCAGAACGCCTTCCGTGTATATATATCTGTGCATGTGCACTTGTGTATTTATACAGCTCCAGGGGGGACTCGTTTAGTAAATGATGGGAGATGTTTCACCAGCTGAGGCTGGGCTCCTTCCACAGTGTGCAAACTGCTTTTCCCTTTTGCGTGCTTTTAGAATTTTGAGGCTGCCAGGGTCAATGCTGTGGGATATATGCTCCTGGAGCCATGTAGCAGAAAGCGTTGCCCTTGCAGTGCTAAGTTTTAGAACTGAAGGTAAATAGAAAGAAAATGTTATGGGTTCCTGGCACAGCCTGGGCTTGGGGGAAAAATCTGAACAGCTGGCAATGATTCATCTCCAAGGTGGCTGAAATGTTTTAATTTTTTTTATTATTTATTATTTTTTTATTTTTTTATTTTTATTTTTTTTTTAAGACAGAAGTAAAGGGGTTTCTGAAACAGAATGTTCTTCCCAGCTGAAAAACTGAAACTTCCCATCTGTGGGGAGGGAGAGAGAGGCCAAGCTAATCCTTTCAAAATACTCACCATTCTTCTAAAAATGTGACTTTCAACTCGGAAAACCTCCCTAGGTGACTTACAGTCATGAAATACTGCAGTGTTTGGGAAGTCAGGAATTTTTTTTGCACTCCCCCAGATCTTTGTTTTGGTGGAAAACAGCAAATCTGGCCTGAACATTGATTCATGGGCTTGGGGGAAGAGATGGGGCTGAACAGATGGGGACATACATGCTGGATTTCATCTTATCAAAATGGACATTTCTTCCTCTCCTATGAGTGTATAATGAAAGATAGGATTTGTTTTTGTTGCTTATATGTAAGAAATTGCAGTGTAGCAGCAACCAGCTTCCCAAACTGGTTTGCATTGGTGTCTACTGGGAGGGACTCCTCCAAACAGGTGGCGGCAGCGGGTGTTCTGTCCTTTAATTGCAGCAGGATCAACCTCACTGAACACATCCCAATTGCCTTATTTATTTTTATTTTTTAATATAGTTTTTTAAGCAGTGTGTGTGCAAAACACATACGGCAAAAGAGCACGTTAGGGAGAGAGATGTATATCAGAGCATTACCAAGAGTGATAATTTAATGAAAGCAAATACCTGTGCTTGTGATTACCCCAGAGTGGGGAAATAAGGACTTCTTAACAGCATTAGCCACTGGCACAGATTTATATGAATAATTACAGCCCAGACACCAATCTTGGGAATTACCCATAGCGCAGGATACCTGCTTATTTTGGGGGTCTGTAATATTGTAATATTTTGGGAATAATACCTGAATATTTTGGGTTATGAAATATATATCCCCTTAAAGATTTAGGGCTAAGAGCACTTTGTAGTGTCTCCAAAATGTGCAAGAGCAGCTGTGGGTGTGGGTGCTTGGTGCTTTGCTCCTGCACTTTTGCAGCAATGGTGGAGTGTGTTAATTATAGCGTATTAATTATATGTAATAATTAAAACATGCATGCTGTGAAAAGCCCCTTGCTAACATCATGCAGCCCTTTTGCTCTTGTTGTCAAAGGGAAAAAAAAGGCATTGAGGAAATCGCTTTAATTCCCTTCTGGGACTTGGTGCTACCTGGCCAGAGCAGGATCAGTTGAAGGCATTTGGTGCTAAATAAAATGCTAAAAATGAATGCAGTGGGAGGGCAGGGCTCCTTGAAACAGAAACAGCTGCTTGCAGGGTTGCGCTGAGCCTAAAGTGGGTTTGAATGAAGGAAAACGATGGCTCCAAGGTAAACTTGAGGCTGGATAAGCTGTCATTTGGGAATGCTGCTGTTTCATTTTACAGTGGCTTTTTATTGTTAAAAAAGGATGAAAATAGTGAGACCTTTTGCTATCACAGCAAAGCAAAATATTTGGGGTTAAACGCAGTGTGTTGGGTTATCCCATGGTGATGTTTCTTTGCTTTTCAACTGCCTGAGTTTCTATTTTTGATGGAGAAATGCTAGCAAGGGTCATGAGCAAAGCAGCAGTCGGGGCTGGAAAGAATGGGTGGATTCTCCTGCTGAGACATTTCTATTGAAAGCAAGTTCCAGGTCCATAAATTGAGATAAATCTTCCTTTCTGTGGAGAAAATTGGATTATTTTAAGATGGGTGAAGTCTGAGAAATTGGTGCCGTGCTGCAACCACATCTGCAGCATCCCAGTGCCTAAATCCTCCCCAATGCATTTTTTCCCAATGGAAGCATCTCTTCCCACTGACCTAACCTGAAATATAGGAAATCCCAATTCCTTCTCTCAGAGCAGGATTTCACCAGGACTTTTTCCCCCCACTACACCAAGTTTAAGGAAAATCGTAGAACCACAGATCGATTGAAGTTGGAAAAGACCTCTAAAATCCTCAAGTCCATCCCCAACCCATCTGTTACAATAGGAAAGATTAACGCGGTGGAAGGGTGATACAGGACTGTAACAGCAAAGGGTCCAGCATTCATAGGATGGTATTTCAAAGGAAAAGTAAAGGTGCTCACCTGTATCTGAAGATCTCGATTCACAGAAAGACTCCACAAGAGAGGGGTCTCCAACCAGAGATCCTTCACCAGTAGCAGTCAGCCCTCAAATGGGATCTAAGAGAGATGCAGCCAGGCTCCAACACTTCCTGTCCCACAGCTGAACTGCCTTCCTCCTGTGCTCCTGGGACTTGACTGGTCCTTTCCCCAGGTGCTCAATGGTTCAGGTTGTGACTCAGCAGGTACTGTAAACCATCCCACCATGCCCACTGTGTCCATCAGTGCCACATCTCCACACTGAATGCCTGCAGTGATGGTGACCCCACCATCTCTCTGGGCAGCCTGTACCAATGCCTTGCCACTCTTTTGGAGATTTTTTTTTTTTCTAATACCCAACCAGAAAATCCACGGGGATAGAGAAGGGACTTGTAAGGAACAGGGATGCCTACGGCTTGAACAGGTGTTCAGAGTCCCCTTCCAGCCTCACCAGAATTCCTTTATTTCACCTGCATATGGGCATTTTCCATCAAGAGGGATGTTGAAAGATGGGAACCTGCTGAAGATCTTCAATGCACTTCATTGAGTTTTTCAGCCAACAGGCAAAAGTCAGGTCTTATACAGACTCAATGAGCACTTGTTTTGGCAAGGAATATCCTCCCTAAAAAAGCTCATTTTGGGGTCACCTGACTCCTGACAAAGGGTTGGGGAGGACGGGCAGTGCAGACAGCTAGAGACACGTGCTGCTCTTTGCCAGTTTCCTCATTAATCTTGATTATGAAGCCCTCGTGCTGAAGTTAATTTTCTTGTAGATGCATATCAGTCATGTAGCTGGGAATTTTGCGTGCACTAATGAGAAATTGCAGCCTCGTCACATTATTACTCTGCTAATTAGTACACAGACTTCTTCTGGAAAGGTCAGGAGAGAGGGGCTGAGAAACTTCACCTTTTTTTGTACCAAATTGGTGTCGCTTGGTGCAGAGGGAGGTGTGCGTATAGCTCTCTGCCCTGGATTTCTGCTGTTCCTAAAGGTGTTGAGGACAGTGCTTTGGATCTTGTTTTTGCATTGTCTCCATCCATCAAGGATGGGAAGGATGTTGGCTCCATCCTCAAATAGGGATTTTCTGTTGCAGTGGGATAAAGCTATGGGAAAGCCCTTATTTCAGAAAAGAAAAGACAAAGAACAGCCAAATCAGCTCATTTTGTGCTTTTCCAGCCTCTGGGGCTGTCAGCAGAGTACCTTAACCAGCCTCTAAATTCACAGGAAATTAAAACCCAGGCAAAACCCAATGAAGCCAGACACCCAATACAAACGGCAATATCTTCATCCAACAATTTACATCACTTACTGTCTCCTCCAATGTCCTGGGATTCAGCTGACAGCCTGCACGCTTCTCTTGCGTTCCACTACTAAATCTGGAGGCTGTCAAAGGCGTTTTGCTGGGGAAAGACGATGACTACTTCTCCAAGCACTTTGAGATGCTCCTCCCAGCTCACTGGGGGTGGTTGTGCATGCAAAAGGCAGTTGCAGAATGGGGGAAAAAAAAAGGACAAAATTGAGGTTGGGAAGGCTTTGCAAGGAGAAATTGCCCAGGGAAGCAGTCACTGTTCCTGGAGGTGTTTAGGAAAAGGAAAAGGTAGATGTATCTAGGGACGTTGGTTAGTAAGCAACATTGGTGGCAGGGGAGTGCTTGGAATAGATGATCTTAGACGTCTTTCTCAAACTTACTGATTCTATGATATCTTCCTGCTAATCATCCCTCTTCTGTACACTGTTTTGAGCTGGGTGAACCTTTTGAACTTTGAGCCTCATCTTTTTACCCTTATAAGTGTTTCACCTATGAGTTACATCATCCAATCGATGGGGGGAAAAAAAAAATCACTGTGTGTCTCTCCCGTGGGCATGGTTAAGCTAGGAACGCTATTTCTGCTGCTCAGGCATTGAGAGAGCAGAGAGAAAACCCACCCCTGTGCAGAGGAATTCCAGCAATTAATTGACTTTGATTTGATTTGATTTTGCAGTGACCTATGCAGAGCCTGATTTCTTTCATTGGGGGTTGGTTAGTGAAGAAGCAAGCCACAAGCCAGCAGATTCCATCAGTCTGGTGCTGCTGGTTGTGTTGGTTTGGAAGCTGTAACCCCCAAGGACAATGCTGGGGACTGTTTGCACGAGGCTGGCTTAAAATGAGGGGAGATCTTGCGATTTTGGGGAATGGCAGAGTGAAGCTGGGATTCAGAGCACAGCCTTCCCTCATAAACCACGCACATTCATACAAATCACAGCCCGCCCTGAACCGCCCGTCCCATCCATCCCCACCCCCTCCCTGCAGCCCCGCCCTGGGGCCGGACCGGGGCGGGCTTAGCCGGGCGGTGGATGCAGGAGGTTCGAGCGGTGACATCGCGGTGCTGGAGCTGCGAGCGGTCGGCTCAGCTCGGTGGGATCGGCAGAGAGGGGCGTCGAGCCCAGCCCGGCACCGCCGCGATGCCTTCCGGACCCTCCCATGCTACAGCCAGTGGTTCGGGGCACCGGTGAGCCCTATGGGGGCTCCCCTTCCTCCTCCCCCGCGGACGCTATGCGGACCATGAGCCCCCTGACCCTCTTTTTACTGCTGCTTTGGGATTTCCTGGACCTGGCACTGGGTGAGTTCCATCACCCTCTCACAACGGGATCAGCCCTGTGCCCTGATCCCAAATAACGGGAAAATGCTGTGCTGCGGGTGTGCGGGGGCTCTAGGCTCTGTGCCCCCCCTCGCGGCTTGGGAAAGGCTCTCCGTAATGGGAAAGTGGTTCTGGACCCGGTAGTAGGACGGTGGTTTTGGATCTGGGAATAGGGCACCCTTGATAATGCAGTGTTTTGCACTCTGTAATAGGGTGCCCAGGAATAGGGGACCCGCTAATATGGCAGTGGTTTTGGAGCTGGTAATAAGGCACCATGTAATAGGACAGTGGTTTTGGACTTGGTGATAGGGAGCCTGGTCATAGGGCGTCAGTTTTGGACCTGAGATTAGAGTGCCTGTTAATAGGTCTTCAGTTTTGGACCTGATAATATGGCACTGGTTTTGGATCTGGGCATGAGGCACCAGTAACGGAATAGTGGTTTTTGGACCACTGGTAACAGGGCACCTGGTAATAGGAGAAGCCACTAATAGGGTGATTAGTTTGGATTTGGTAATGGTGTATCAGACATTGACCTGTTAATAGGATGTCTGCTAATAGGATGCTGGATTTTAACCTGTTAATAGGGCACTTGTTAACTGAATGCTAGGTTTACATCTGTTGATAAGGTGGTTGCATGCAGAGTGCCTGGTTTGGACTTCATAATAGGGTAACTCAGTAATAAGGCAACCCATTTGGACCCAGTAACAGAGCATCTGTTAACAGGGTACCAGATTTGGACCTAGTATTAGGTCACCCATTAGTAGGATACTTGGCTTGGATCTGGTAATAAATGAATCTGCTGATAGGGCAGTAGGTTTAGCCCCTTTAATAGAGTACCAAATTTGGACCTGCTAATAAGGCAGGCATTACTAGGACACCAGTTTTAGACCCATTAGTAGGGCACTTGCAAATAGAACACCCAGTTTTTACCTCTTAATAGGGTTCCCCCCAACAGGACGTTGTTTTTGAATCTATTAACAGGATGCTGACATTGTCCTCATTAATAGGGACCTGCTAATAGGGTATGCAGGGATAGCCCCTAGTCCATTCTCTGTATAGTTCATCAAAGCCCTGCCTGCTCTGCACAGCTCTGAGTGCTGGGAGGTGAGTGGCACTGATTGGGCAACTGTTGGGATTTTGCTATTTCTAACACGCTTTTTCCTGCATAGAATGCAGCCATCAGCTGCTGCAGGGCACAGGGAGGGGGAGCGGTGGACGCGCTCTGTAGGATTGGCACAAAGGGGCCAATTCTTCTCGAGTTTGAGGTGAAGTGCACAATACTATCCTTTGGGGGTAGCACAGATCCACCTGCATAAAGCTGAGTTCCGCTTTTAATGTGCTTTTCTGCTGATGATTGATGAGAGTAGGGATGGGTAAGCCTGTGTTTGTGGTGTATGTTTGGGGGGGAGAAAGAGGTCAAAGCGTTTGTTCTGTGGATCAGTGTGGGGCTGTGGGGTGAGAAATGATATGATAGGATCTGATCGTGGCGTGTGGATCTGGATTAGTGCTGCCATGAGCTCAGCATTCAGCTCCTAAAACCCCACTGGAACTTCTCTGTGCTCCCATATCCTGAGGTTGAGCTGCTTGAAGTGTTTCCTTAGCGCTGTCCCAAAACCCAGCACTTTCCAAGCAAAAAAGAAATATATCATTGCAAAAAGCCCATCCCGATGCTCTGGCAGTGGATGGCAGTTCCTGAGGTTCAGCATTGGGCAGATGGCTTTTCCTTGGCTGAGAACATTCTTGGCTGGGGATTCTGCACCCGGGGATCTCCAGCCTTATTCTTGCCAGGGATGCAGCAGGATCCATGCCTACAAAGGGGATGTTAAGTCCCATCACTTTTTCCTCCACAATGCCTCTCTGAAGTGGTAAATTTTGTTCTTTTTTTCTTTATATGCACTGTCTACAATGCATGGTGCGTGCTCTGTGTTCTCCCCGTGATTTCCCCTATTGCTGCCCCATCTCTGTGGGTGTGATTGAACATCCTATCAGCAGTGCACACACTCAAGCAAAGCATCCATAAGAGCATCTGTGAGTGCATTTTGGGGCTTTCCATCTGAATCCATCACTTCTGAATGAAAAGCCCTTTTATTCCCTCATACGATGCTCCCTGTTTTCTGGATGTGTGGTAGGCCAGCTGTGCCCTTCCCTATACAGCTTTTCCCATTAAAACAAGTTCAATTTCTCCCCTTGGCCAGGAAAAGCAACCTGAGCATGGCTAAGTGGGTTGAGAGAGCATCAGAATGGAAAAATGAGGGCATATGCAGGAGGTGAGCGGTCAGACGGTGGCTGGCAGTGGCCCCATAGCCTTGCGGTGGTGGTTTTTGGAAAGGCACAAAGTCTCATCTGCAGGCAGGGTGATGGCTCCTTGGCTGCCCCAGGCTGTTTGCTGGCACTTCACTCTTGCCTGAAATACGTTCCCATCACATGCTCATCAGGTTTCTTTTAACGGGCAGGGAAAATCAGAGCTGTGTTTTGCAAACATGAAAGGAGAGTTAAATATGTTGAAGTCTGATCTCAGTGAGATATTGATATTGCCGTCATCTGAGAAGGTTTGGGGTAGAAAAGGAGAAAATTCAGTGGTCAGGTGTCTGGGAGTTTGCACGGTGCAGAGAGAGGAGGAGCATCCTTGCACCACGTGCAGAACAACCTGCTCTAATTCACCTACGAGCACATTGCGCTGACCTGGAAAAGCAGAACATGTTCCGTCAGCCTTCCTGCTCCTGCTTTCCCATCTTGCATTCAGCTCAGGGTCACCTTCTCTTTATCCTTTCCTCCCCTTTTCCATGAATTTCTGCTTCCTGCAAAGCCTCATGCTGCCTGAGTAAATCCATAAAGTCCTTCTGACAATCCACCCTGCTAATTGCCCTTGCCCTCTCCCAATTAGGCCAATTTTGTTATTCCCTTCTCTCTCTCTCTCTCTCTCTCTCCCAGCTGCATTTTGCAGCTCTTTAGAGCTGCCAGCTTCAATCTTAGAGTGTTCTTACAAAGCAAGCTTCCTCCCCTCGCCCTGCACCTTCCTAAGTTAATAGGCAGCTTTGGGGCACAGAGTTGTTCCATGCTTCATTTTCCTGCAAAACCCCCCGTATTTTAAATTCTGTGTTCTTCCAGGTGCTGGAGCTCAGTTTTGGGGCAAATCCTTCAGATTCCCCATTCCCTGTTGCAACGAGCAAGTTCTTAGTGTTGATGGTGCTGCGGTATTTAACTTTAGGTCTGGCTGATTTCCTTTTTTTTTAACCAAATTTTGACTTCTCTAGACTCACAAAGATCACAGAGCCAGGGCGGATGTGTGTTGTGTGTCCTGGTTTTGCTTTCAAGACCCATGAGCTAAGCAGCCCTTGCTATATGCGAGGTGTTAATCCTATCTTCAAGGTGGTAAATGATCTTATATGCAACACGCTAAACACTACATATATAATCATAGGATCATTAAGGTTGGATAAGACCACTAAGGTCATCAAATCCAACTGTCAACCCATCTCCTCTAATAATGTCCCTCAACGTACAACATACTCTATGCTGTATGCAACACACAAATGCTATATGCAGTACGCTATATGCAAAGTGCAAATGTTATATGCTGTGCACTGTATACTGTATCCATTGCAGCCCTCCTGTGTGCACCATGGGCTATCTCTGGTACCTTCACACCCTTGCAGAGGTCTTCCCTCTGGTTGCATGCAGGCTTCAGCAGCATGCAGGTGCAATTCAGTTCCTGCATTAGTTGATGCACTGGGTTTTTATGGAGCATCTGATATGCATGGGGAGGATGGGCATCGCTTGGCACTTACTGTTGTTTTACTTACTGCTTTCATTCCCTGCCCCATTTGCTTGATTTCATTGACTGCAAGTCAGGCGCTGTGGAAAAGTCCATTGAAGGAGCCCCCAAACCTTGTGGTTGTTTTTTTGTTGTTGTTGTTGTTGGCTTTTTTTTTTTGTTTTGTTTTGTTTTGTTTTTGGAAAACTTCCCAGCCTGGAAATCAGCCTGCATAGAGCTGAGGAGGGAGGATGCAGCTGATGTGCTGTGTTTGCTCCGTGCCAAGCTGCTCTCTTTGCCCTTTTGTTTGCTTGCTGCAGAGGCACTTGGTGTACTGATGGGCTTGTTTGTAACTAATAGCTGGTGCTCACATTATCTCTCTGGCATTATCTCCTTCCCTCTTTTCCCCATCTCCTTCCTAAAATAAATAGTCAATCACAGCTTGTTTTCAGTGCAGGACTTCTACCAACTTTGGGACAGATTCATGGTGCAACTGCCAAGGGCAGGCAGGCTCTTAGTAAAGTGCAGGACCACGACCCACATCACAATGTGCAGTCACCATCACTGCCAGCTCTATATTTTCCAGGGCACAAAGTCTATAATAAGCAGAAGATTGGGTACCAAGCAAAACCAAATGCTGGAGAAAAGCAGTGGAAATGGGTGAATGAATAACCCTTGTTAATAGAGTCCTGACAAATCCATGACTCTCCATCCATCCATAGAATCATAGAACGGCTTGGGTTGGAAGGGACCTCAAGGATCATCAAGTTCCTATCCCTCTCCCACAGGCAGGGCCACCAACCTCCATGTCTGGTACTAGACCAGGCTGCCCAGGGTCCCATCCACCCTGGTCTTGAGCACTTCCAGGGGCAGCATCCACAAACCTCTCTGGGCAGCTGTTCCAGCACCTCACCTCTCTCTCTGTAAAGAACTTCTCCCTGACATCCAATCTAAACTTTCCCTCCTTGAGCTTAAAACCATTCCCCCTTGTCCTATCACTGTCTCCCCTTGTAAAACGTTGATTCCCCTCCTGTTTATAATTCCCTTTTGAATCCTGAAAAGCCACAATGAGGCTTCATCATAACCTTCTCTTATCCAAGCTGAACAAGTCCAGCTCCTTCAGCCTGTCTTCGTAGGGGAGGTACACCCATCTATTCCTGTGTCCAATCATCCCTGTGCCCATCCATGCTCACATCTGCCCATCCCTTTCCATGTCTGTCCATCCCTT